GGCAGTTCCAAGCAGAGACCTGTATCTCATATTTAGGAGATCATCCGACATGATAATAAAATACATTAGAGGGCCAAACTCTCAGGCACAGTCAAGGAACATCGACCAAATACCAAGGAAATATAGAAAGATTTTATCTCAGTTCCTTATATCTCACACTCTTAGGTTTCTGGTGGGATTTAAATTTGGCTTTTCATACTTCAGGCTGTGAGAAAAGGAATGATTCAGTGATGAAGATCATAGGATGCAGAAGCCATGCCCCCATTTGGCTGGTTATGTATTATCTCTACTTCAACAGTAAAGGACATTAAGAGGTATAGATCCCAAATCCACAAAAATTCATCCTTACTAAACAAGACTTTCTCACTCTGGCTACAAATTTCAGGGACTATTTTATCAATGATATTGCATGTAAGAGCTCACTACATGTGTAAGAAATAGAAACCTCTTATAAAACCACCCTACACCCAAATTAAAAAAAAAAAAAAGGAAAACCCCACAGAAGTCATTTGTACCTGTCTCATCTCCTTACACTCCCCCTTTTCCCCAGTCAAACAAAAGAAAAAGAGCTTGAACAGCAGGCACTAAGACTCAGATTCATTGACAAGATTAAGTTGGTTTGTTTTAATTCAAAGCAAGTAATGAAAGTAGTTCTAGAAAATAAAACCATAACAATCATAAAATATGTTTGTATAAACAAATCTTCCCCTACTACTAGCCAAGAGAGTTTTCACTATTAGTAAAAACATCCTTTATCCTTAAAGCCACACTTGTGGCCCCTTTCTGTAATTTAAGAATCAGAGAATATTGTCTAGTCAGAAAAGGAGAAATTGATCCCATGTCCCCACATCCTTTTTTTGCTTTGTTTACACAGTAGAATATCATTACAAGCACTTCAAAGTTTAAAAAGCCAGTATTTGTAGTTCCTCCTGTAGCTCTCACTACACTGCCCTGGATACTCATCATTCACACTGAAAGGAGAAGTGGTTTGTAACAGCATGGAAAAAAGAATAGGATCCTGCAACTAGAGATCAGACCACATGCATAAAAAACACATGAAGGAAAGCAAAGTGACAGGTAATTTTCAATCTGGATGCTATTGCTAACTGAATAACAAGAGCTTTAATAACACTTCTGAGGAAGTTGAAGCAGAGAGGTGACAATAGGGCAGTAATGCAGCCTCCTAGAAGGCAGCAGAGAGTAGGAAACATGCACTCCTTTAGAGGCAATGGCAATCCTCTTGTGTACTTCTTCCCAGCAACACAAACTCTTAATCTTCAGCTTTACAACACATCTAAATTACAGTGACTAATGGTGTTAGCTGGCAAGGAAAGCAAAATCCAAACATCTACTGAAAGACAGACAAACTGGGAGCAAATACTTGCTGCAATAAGGTCTGTCCAAGGATCCAGCCCAATTCTTGAAGGTCAACTCGTATTGGTACACTCCTGATTCAGACAGTGCCATGAGAACAGAAGAAGAAATGGTAGCTTGGCAGTGGAGGCAACTGTCTTTTGACAAAGCAGTAATTGTGAGAGCCAACCCAAATTCAGCAACCCCATTATAACCTCCCCAGGAGCCATATAATTCTGTGTTCTCAGCATACCATCATGCCCTCTGTTGCTTTTACACAGTTCCAGTCTGGGCTTTTTTAGTGCTCTAGCATAGACTTTTCTGTACAGCATGAGTGACAGAGAGGGAATGAAGATTTTCAAGTGATTTAGTCACAGCAAAACTTAATTTCATGGGGCAAGGAAATCAAACCACTTATTTAGCCTAAAGACTTTTCCTCTTGCCAAATTACAATGGCTTTTGCAAACAACAAACCTTCTCAAAAAGGTCATACAGCTTCTTTATAATGGAAACTATTAGGCAATCTAAATATAGCAGTCACTACTAGTTCCCTCTATAATACAGTCCATTAGGGTTCTATTCAGTACTCCTTACTTGTGCTTCTAATGAACTTCAGCAGGAGATTTGTTCAAGAAAGGAGTACTTATTACAGTCCTATGTTCCTTACATTTATATAACATCTTTCATCTAGAAAGATTTCAAAATGTCTTAAAGGTCACATGTAGAAAATTACTATACTCAGTTCCTCTCCCATCAAGAGGAACACAGTAATTTCTCAGTACCCAAGCAACAAACCAGAACAATTTAGGTTAGAAAGTAAATGCTAAAGCCATGTGTACATGGAGAGTTTAGATCCTCAGTGGCATGACCAAACTAATACCTGGCAAAAGCTGTAGAGTAGAAGGTAGAGGGATATCCACCTGGCAGATAGGATCTTAGGTTTCCATCTGACTTGGGGCATATCTAACTGGCACCATGCTGGGACACTGCTTTGGTACTAGGTGGGAACAGTCACACCACTCCCTGCAGCATCCAGGAATTCCCCTGGGACATCCCTCTCCAAGGACAGCCCAGTTTAACCATTCAATGCAATACTGCCATAGACAAAAAGTAAATTTAACTCCATGATCTAATCTGCTTTGAAAATTCAGTCTAGAAATAAAATACAATAAAGAAATTGTAAAAATTTGCACTAGTCTTAACAATTCTATCAATTACTAAAGCACATAACCCACTTCTAGCCTCTGGCACTAAAGAGAACTCTTTCAGAGAGAAGAAATTATTCAACAGTGAAAACACCCACAAACCCTACCTGTACCTGAAAATATTTCTGTAAAGGTAAATGTGCATAATAAGTATTAAAAAAAAAGTTTTAATCAACTTTGCACCTAATTTCCAGTGGCCTTAAAACCCACTTCAATACAATTGCCTGTTTTTCCACCTGCAATTTTGGTCACACTAAATGAAGTTTAAGATGCAGAATCAGGTATTACACATTTCAACACAACAAAAGAGATTGCTCTGAATTTTAAAAAAAAAAAGTAGCATTTTACAATGTCTTATAGACAAAGCTCTAATCCTTAAAAAAACCCCACAGTTAAAACTTTTAAGTAAGAACCATTGCACAGCACCAACCATGCTGATGCACCACCTTAATCTAACATCAAGCTTCAAAATGGAAGACTAAAATAAATAAATAATGTGTTCTCAGTGTCATCAAAACATGGTAGTATTGTTATCCTGCCCCATGTTCTTTTGTCCTATAGGCAACACCAACAAATACTTTACCAAGGTAATAATTTGGTCACTTGGACTCCAGGTCCTTAGGAAAAAAAACACAAATAAAAAAAACAAACACCCAGCTGGCCTTTTGTGTTTCTTTGGCACCCTAATGATTCTCTTCATGGACACAAAGGTCTACTTAATGGCTCAAATCATATATCAGAACTGGAGACAAAAGCTGCCTGGCCTAAAACTTCAACTTTTATCTACCTCATGTCATGTGTAAAACCTGGATTTTGCAGTCATATGAAGATGCAACTCCTCTAAACCTTAGGGGGAAAAAGAGTCCCATGAACCTACTCAGGGACACATTGTTACTGAGTTTAAGTAGAGAAAAAAAAAAATCAACCTATCAACTACAGCTTGCCTACCAGGTCACTGTCAGGGAGAAAGTGGAAACCAAAGAAAGAAAAAAGACACTTTGTTGCAAAATTATTTAAAAGAGGAAATATTCAAGTAGGGAAACTAGAAGACACTGAAAATACTTGTATCTCAGGAGCTCCATTTTTTGTTTGTTTGTTAAGTTCCAATGCTTTTATCCAGCTGAGTTTCCAAAGTAATAAAACATAATTTTAAACTGACTTTTCTTATCAAACTGACTGGATGCTAAAGAGGCTTTTTTCATTATGTTTTTAAAGTCCTTGCATGAATTCATCAGTCTTATTTTGCTGAACAATACCGATCTGTAGACATCTCTCTGTGATATAAATATAATGCCATTAATATAACTGGAAACTATAATATATGTGACAGATGCAATTCCCTCTTGTCACATTTACCTTACTGATTTCCTTTGTTAAAAAACAAACCACAGCATTCAACTAATGTTCACAACTGAAGTTATGAGAAGTCCTTCCAATATTTATTCTGTATTTCAAAAGCAGGGAAACTAGCTCTGGAAATAAAGAATAGCCATTTTTGTCAAGTAATTGGACCCAACCTTGCACTTACAATTTCAAACATGTAACATTTATTGCAAGTCATACTCAGCACTGCTTTGACCAATATCTACAATGTAATTGCGGCTTTTGATAGGATTGCAACTTGATTGCCATTTAAACTTCTCTTGCTGACGGGATTAACCCATAGGTATGGTAAGGGTAAGAAAGGATTCCTGAGCAACCTTCTCTTCCATTAGCATGTATGGCTACAAGTGCACTCAGGTTTGCTTGTAAAAAGCCTCCATTCCCCAAGCACACATGTTCAGGCCACCGGCAGGCACAGGAACCAGTTAATCCACCGCAAGCTTTGTGACTGGTGTATAGAGAAAAGGTCCTCCTGGCAAGTCACGGTTACACAGGGAGACAATTCCATAAAGCACAATTCAGCTAACAATTTCTCCCTAAACACTGAAGGGTTATAATCCACCCCCTATTGCCCTCAGAAACCTCCATGGTGATGCTCTGTGATGAAAAGCGAATTAAAATAATACTAATACTGCCAATAATAATCAAACAAAGGGGTTATGTATGAGGCAAAGTTAAACTCATAGAAAAAAAAAATTAAATAAATTTTAAAAGAATTTAAAGGGTGAGTGTCTTAGCAGGCACACCCTAAGGGACAGTTCTCGTGAGAGGGCACAAGCTCTCCAGGGTTACGCTGTGCAGGCAATTATGCCCTTCCTGGTATTTATTATTTCTGTTTCTACACACGCCGGCGCAGCGCTGGGTCAGGTTCACCGAGGAGCCCCGGGCCGGGGGAGGCTGCGTGTTCCCGCCCCCACCCCTGATAAACGAGACCCGATTCCTGTCACGCCGCCCTCCCTCACAGCCCGGGGATGCACCGCGGCTCCCCGGCCCCAATTCCTGTCACGGCCGCGCAGCCGCTCCCCCGCCGCCCCCGCTCCCCCTCCGCCGGCGACCCACCGTGTGGAGGTGCCCTTCCTCACGTCGCACATCAAGCACTTGAAGGCCTCGGCGCTGTTGCGGAAGGTGCAGACGCTGCAGTCCCAGTACCCCTCGTCCGAGGAGGGTTTCGGCTGCCGCTTCGGCCTGCGGAGACACACGCGCGCCAGGGGCAGCACCAGCCGCGACGCGCCCGCCGCCCCCGGGGCGCCCCCGCCGCCACCGCCGCCGGCCCCGCGCTCCCGGAGGGCCCAGGGGAACGAGAAAGCGCCGCCGCTTCCCCTACCTGGTCGGACTCTTCTTATCTCCCATGCCGGCTCCAGACGCGTCCCGGCCCGGCCCCGGCGCGGCCCTTTGTGCGTTTGTCAATAAGGAGGAGCGCGGGGGGTCCCTGGGCTCTAGCGGGGACCCGGGGAGGAGGAGCCGCCGCCGCAACCTCCAGCTGTCGGGGAAACTCCCGCTGCTGCTGCCGCCGCCGCTGCCGCCGCCTCCCCGCTCACGTGTCCCCCCGCCGCCAACCAGCGGCGCCCGCAGGCCGCGGCGCCCGGCGGGCCGCGCACGGCGGCACCTTCGCTCCGCCGGCGGCTCGGGCGCTGCGAGCGGCGGCGGGGCCGGGGCAACGCGGGGGCTGCTGGGGGCGGCGGGCGGAGCGGGGGCGGTACCGGCGCCGGGGGGCGGCCCCGGCGGGGAGGCGGCGCTGGGCAGAACGGGCAGAGCGGCAGCGTGAGCGACTGCGGCCGGCCTGCAGGCTCTTCCCTTAAAGCCGCCCTTGTTATCGCCCAAGGTTGCTCGCGTTAGCGTCTAGATTGTCTTGTGCTTCTTCCCACAGAAATTGCTCCAGGCCGTGATTTACAGTAAGAAACAAACGGGAATAAAGTGAATACGAACTTCTGCTTAGAAGTCTTGCTCTAAAGCATCCCGTTGGCCTGAGGCCAGGGGAGAACGCAATGGGTACCAATCCAAAACCAGGTGTTACCTTGTCCCTGTGTGCACGGTGCTACTTTTGCACTTAAAAGCTTGCAAGTACAGCGTGTTTCTCATGCATCATAGCAACCTCAGACAGGACACGGGCGTTTATCACCTCTATTATCAGAGTGCACCAGAGCCTACTCACAGTCGAGGATGCCATTTTGCAGGATGCTGTGCAAACAGAACAAAGAGCACATGTCCTAAGAACATAACAAAGACAGCAGTTAGACACAGGTAGAGAGCAGAATGCAAGCAGACAATGAAATTATACCGGTCAGCATCTCAGTGGCCAAAGCTATTACTGATGTATTGCCAAGAAATTATGGGATTTCAAGAACAAAATATGCCCAAGGGGAGTTTTACTGAAGTGTGTGAAGGCATAGACGAGTTTAAAAATTAAGCAAGTGGACAACAGAGAAACTTTCTGATTCTGAAGGCAAAGTTGTCAAGACAAATTTCAGCTAGAAATACTGGGATAGAGAGGGAAAATGTAGGTAAAGTACTTGACACATTAGGGAAGCAATTAAAGACCCCTTAATTGGGATGTATTTATGCAAAAGAACTAACACTTTTACAAGACTCACAGATTTTTTCTGTCTGTCTAGGAGTGCTGTGTGTCAGCAATTGGAAACCTGTGTAGGATTTACTTGTGTCTGGCCTTTTATCCTGAATTCCTTCTGCATTCACATTCAGCTTCCACTATTGCCATTTTCCTCACCTTATGGTTCTCTTTCTGTATTTTCCTCACCTTTCCCTTTCTTTCTCTATTGCAATTTCTTTCTTCTTTATCTCTTTATGCTTCTCATGCAGTAAATTATGAATAAAATGTACGGATTTCACATCTGAGGGTGAGGCATGCCACACACAGACAGCTGGCCTGGGCTCATTTGCATTTAGTTAGACATCTACATGGACTAGGAGCCCAGACCCAGCTCTCAGCAGGAGAAACAAGCTCATGCTGAAGGTGATTGATCTGATGCTAAGACAGGAAGACAATTCTCTCACTTATGGACACTATTTCTTTCCATTGACTATAAAGAGTGCTTTGCACCAGTAGTCCAGAAGTGGATGTTTAAAATTACAGAATTATATGAGGTGTCCCACCTGTGCTTGAACCTGACATTATGTAGAAATCTCTTGATGGGAAGCAGTGCAGAAACCTGTCTCCTTGTGCCCTTTTCTGGATTTTGCAGTCATATGAAGATGAGAAAGAGTGTGCACACTCTTTCTACTGTATAAATAAGCATTAATTTCCCACTTTTGGAAAGTAATTATTTTGAAACTACTGCATTCTCTTGACCTTTCCTCTGTTACAGCCTACTTTCTCCAAACTGATTGTGGGAAACAGAACTTCCACTGATGGTTACAAAGCACCAAGATATGTTGTAATCCCTCAGGAACCATTCTTGAAGAGGACCATTTCTAATCAGGAGGAGGAAATGCAACTGCCAGCCATAAATGTTATCCCTAACAGAAGAGTAATCTTTCTGGCTGTTGCATTCCAGACCTTCTGCTTCAAGGTCATCACCTAAATGACCATGCCTAAAAATTATCATGTTTTCCCAGCAGCATTCAGCCTCTTTCCCCTGAGCTCTAACTAACCCTTATTTTGGGAGCTGAAATGGGATTTGGATGGTCCATTCAAAAGTTCAGGTGTATGGGTGATGGTGCAACTCAGAGTGGGCCATGGGTCAGTGCAAGTGCGAATCTTATTCTTCAGTAATCCTGAAAAGGCAAGAAAGACTATTTCCCTTGCATCCTTGTTCTGTCCTCAAATAAGAACACCAGAGGAGACCACTGAAAGCATCAAACCATCCCATGTCATCTCTGCAACTGAAACAGTGATGGAAGGCATTATTTAGCAGCAATGCTGGAAAGCACATGTAAGAGGTGTGTGTAATAGTCAGATACTGAAGAGATCCAGGGGCACTTTGATAAACTGAAAAAGTCAAGAATTCCATACTCAGATATTTTGTGGTATTCATGTGAACCCAGAAAACTCACCTGTCTTTGCTAAATATTTGTATGGCACATGATCTAGAAAGTTTGAATGACAAATTGATGGCATCAGTGTTAGCAGTCTTTTAAAAAATGTTTCTGGGAAAAAAAAGTGATGAATGAACCATCATTTTGAATACTCTTAAATTTTGATTTTGTTTAGTACAGTTGTTCCAGAGCAATTATTTGCCCCCTGTTTTAATTCAGCTGAGTTAAAGTAAACTCATATTTGAGACAGAAGGGATGGGCAATATAATTGTATCTTTTTACATCGGGCATCACTCTCTAGCTAGTGTTTGGTCTCTTATTATCTTAAAATTGGCATTTTTTGTAGCATTGTACAAAGGAAATGCTCATAGTATGATTATGATATTGAAAATTATATATGCTGATAGCTAGTGGAAGTTATACATTTCAATGTATTGTATAAATGTTCTGGCATTCATGACTACTCAGGTAAAAGTTTATTCATAATAAAGAGGATGTGAAAGAGCATGGTAGCAATTTTCAAGCATCTATTGTGTGAAAATTCTTACTGCAGAGAAAATTACAGTTATTCCCAAAAAAAGGTGTTCACATACAAGGTTATTAAGAACAAGCTGGTGCTGTGTAAATCCATACAAAGACTTGCCATTTAGTCAATACTTGAACCATCACTGTGCACACCAAACCTATGCCAGTTGCTGCATTATTAGCATCTTGAGCAATTAAGTAATCACTTTGTCACTGCTTGAGCTTAAAAAACTCTCCATAAAGATGATTATCATTGTGTTGTAGATAAACCACATTTTTATCCCTATTCATGAAAATGAATACTACATAAGTATAAAATTGTCCTAGAATAAATGCATGTTATTCCAGCACGGTGTATCTGGGTTTTTTTTGGGTTGCACCGGTATAATAAAATTAATACAATTAAATCGATTAATGGCAATTTGACTGGCAAGGGTTTTTTTTGACATGTTAGGTATAATAAGACCTGAATCGTGGCTGGGTTTCTATGTAATACTGGGGTGAGGAAAAATTAAAAATCAGAGATAGTGAAAAATGAAAGCTGCTTGCAGACTCTATAATAAAGACAATAGGATTGGTGACAGCGAGCACTGCCCCTCCAGCCTATGTTTGCTCAGCCTCGGGAGCAGCCCACTGAGTACTCATGCTCCTAACTATTGTGTGGAGGCAGGAGAGTGAAATTCTGCTTTAGAAAAGGCCAGAACAGAGAGGGACCACACCTAGAATACTTCATAACATCAGAGAGCCTAAAAGCTGTTTTAAAAGAGTTTTCACTTCCTTGCAAGTACAAGTCTGAGGTAAACGTATTGTATACTTTAGGGAACTGTAGCACTTATGAGAGTTGATTCATCAGCATATCCTTCAGCTTTCACACAGAGTGGCCCTGACATCAGCAGGGATATGCTGTCATGAACCTTGAGTGACATGGTGGTAATTAAGTCCAGGAGTCTTTCTAGGATCATAATTTGACTGTATGCTCATGCAACTTTGGCTCCAAATTCATAAAACAGGAGACTGTACACAGAGTTCTTGCAGGTTACAGCACAGCAGCAGTAGCTGCGTGTGTAAGATCAATAAAAATCTGATCACAATGGTTTCTTTTTTATATTTGTCCTCTGTCAACTGGAATGAAATTATCAAACCACTTACTTTCAGGTACTTGGTAATTATCAAGTAATTATTTCAGTAACTGCCTACTTGTCATTCACCATCCTAGTTTGGGCACAGCCTTTATCCTTTCAGATTTTGTAATTAGTTTTAAAGTTGTTCTGCTTTATAGTTTCTTTAAATCCTCTGCTTTATCACAGAAAACTCTTATAGAAGAAGTTTCCCTACTTTTTCCATTTAGCCCCTCCCTCCCTGAGGTAATCCAAGATGTGAAAGACCGCTGGTAAGAATGAAAGAACATTCTCAACATTCACTAAATATTTCTGGTCCTTTTGCTGGGATTTGGTGGCACACATGGCAGTATTTTAGACTGAAGAAAATTTATTTTGGATAGGTCAGATTGTTAATAAATAACGCTGATGCTTAATTCTATCATACCTCATACAGAAGGGGTTTGCTAAAAACTGCCCATGAATGCTAAATTGAAGATATGCCAGGTGATTGCTTCAGACACTGGAAAGGTGTTCACATCCTTTGTCTGGACTTGAGGAACCAGTGGAAGTTTTCAACCCAGCAAATGGTAAAAGGATGGCTCCTCCAGGATAATCGTTCAAAGTGGCAAAGCCAGATTTTGCTCTGAACCATCTATAAAGGAAGCAGAAGGAGACAAGGCTCACTAGCATCTGTGAATTTGGATCTCCAGGGTTAAAGAAACTCGAGTGAAGCTGTCCTTATCAACTATTTAAATTTGGGGCTGAATCTTTCCCTATCTGCTCCCATCAAAGTGAACTGAGATAGTGTTGGGTACACCCTTGCCAAGGGGGGATTTATTTGGGCAAAGTCAGTTTCCTGAGGACGTATGTATTGCTGAGGCTCCTTTAAACAGAAAAAATC